ACCCAAAGAGTGACTTCAGGATAGGAGGGATTGCAAAATATTAATGTGCTTGATTGCATGTAGAAATCTAGTGATTTGGAAGGAACCTCGGACTGGAGTAAGTGGGCATAGTGGTTCTTTGCTCGCCTTCCACCTCTGCAGTCTGGGTTCGATTCCCAGCTCAGTCCACATGTGGATTGGGTTTTCAGTCCCTACCTGATTCTGTGGGTTTTAGCCAGGATATTCCTCTGGGGTTTTCCTCCCATCTCTAAAACTGTAACTGCTTCTCATTTCAATCATGAGTCTTAAGTTCTAGGCCACATAGAATACGATGATTAAAACATGATTAAAGTTGGCAGACCTCCACAAGGCCTAGGTTTCCTACCTATCTCAGAACTCAGTAAAGCATAGACATGGTAGAAGGACGTTCCTCCATGGGTTAGGAAGGGAAAATGTTACTGCACGTCTTTTGCGGCCTTTGCTTACCCACAACCGTGGCCGTAGATGCGCGATCTTGACGACCCCCTGTCCTTCATCTTGCTCTGTTTTTTTCCCATTGTAGGCCGCACGCCAGACTGCCTGTCGCTCCGCCACCGCTAGACTGAAAAAATCCCTACAACCGATTACACTTCCATCAGGATCGGAACCTGCTCTGCACGCTTCCAGTCGACCTGCTCGTCAGATGCTCGGCGACTGCGTACGGAGGAAGTAAATGTTGCCGTGCCTGGAAAGTGAATTTTGTGATGCGGTTGTCGTTTGCCACAAGACATCCAACCACGCCGCGCGAGCTCACGATAGGAAAAGCATCAGTCGGCAACCCGTTGCATAGGTGCTCTTAACTGGCAACAACGAACGCAACGAGCGGAGGGTACCAGACTACCGCTTCGCCACTGTTGTTTTCAACATGAGCGCCCTCTCTCGGTTCCATTGAATCACTGGATAATTTCCAAACCTAAAGCCAACTATTGATGAATTTCTTTTTTAATGGAGGGTTTTCATTTTTTTTTTAAATTCAGCAGTATGCACTATATCTGTCCCAGGGAGAAATATACTGATGAGGTAAGAACTCAAAGCGGAACGCTACTACATGTAACTTCAAACAGTACATAACACAATCTGCATAGTATTTCTCAATGGGAACGCCCACACCATAAACATTGAAAAAGGACAGACACGACTGGTCAAGGCGTAAACTTTGGCAAGAATTTATACACCAGCAGATTGAATATACCTAATTATACTTCCTAGATGTTGTCCCGTTTAGGTCACATTAGTAAGTGGCCGTCCATAAAGTAGCCTACGTACCACGAAATACCGACTTTTCAGACCCCCCCACGCATTGCGTAGGCAGTTGCTCAAGCCCCCCATCCCCTGTGCACATACGCTTTCCACATGTCTTTTGACTTCTCAGGGTACCCTGCTTTAGCATCGTTAAATGTCACAGCACATTGGACATCTACATCTAGTACTGTTATTCGCACGTCGCTTCTAGATTCTTAAATAAATGACCAGAGTAATAAAACAGGTTTTTAAAATCAGTATTTCTTTATTAACGGCCCTGGAAAATATTTACTTGCCAGCTTATGAAAAGATGTTGAATCAGAACAAAAAAATAATCCTGGTGCCCTTTTCCCCCTCTTATTCACGTAGAGGGCACCTTACGTTTCCAGAAGACGCTTCCATGTCACAAGTAATGTTGTGGTTTACTAATCATGGGCGTTGGCACGGTAGGATAAATGGTGGAGTGGACGGTGGAGGATACTGTGTTTGAATGGTTTTTCGCCACACAAAAGCTGATTCTGGTATTTATTTATATGAGAAAGTGTACTGATACGGTGGAGATCCATTGCGTACGGTGCGCGACCCCACCAACCCCCTCCCCCTTCGCGTGTACGTACTTTATGGACGGCCCCTAAGCCCTAGATTTATACAGAAGACGACTCCCCACCGAGTCAAGCTGGGATAGGGATACTAGTGATGAGTAACGATCTTCACCTTTTACCCGATATCACCACCTTGCTTCCCTTCCCGTGCTGGGCCTTCGGAAGTTTTGCCAGCAATGTCTGGCACTAAATTGGGCGAAATGCCCATTTTTGCGGAACAGGTCAGCCAAAAATAATGCTAGCTTTTCCACTAAAGTGAAGGCTTCAATGCAGGCTGGCCGACACACTCGAGGCCGTAAACTATAGGTGGATTGTATTGTCAACAAAACCGTTTGGATTGAATGAAATCTTCATACATGTACCTGTAATGTATGTCCTCTCATGCACCACAAATTAAAAAAGAAGAAGGTATGGGACAGAAATATTGATGGGTGGAGGGGGGTTTTCACCCCATCCAGGGGTTTAACTATCCCTTTGTCAACAACGGAGTAAATTTTAAAAATGGATGCAGATTTTGGCAAACTATTCGAATTCACGCCAATGCAGTGCACGATAATCACGGGGACTGCCGTTTGGCTCCTAGTACAATCTCTCTCAAAAAAAGAGAGAGAGAGAAAGGCAGCTTTTAAGAAAGACTCCGCTCGGCTCGAAATATCAGGCTACAAATTGCGGGAAGGTAGTGAACAAAAAGTTTTACATTTTTAGTAAAAAAGGCTGACTCATTGTAGACACTAAAGGGCGACTGCAAACGTCTATCATGTATCAGGGATTGAAAAGAAATGCCACTCGAATTCCTGCCAGCTGGGTGTATTTGAAATCGCTGATCATTAAACGGTTTCAAAATGCAAACAAATTCAAAGCAGACGATATTTGATTTACTCTTGATTTGAGTTAACTTATCTTATTCTTTTTTATTTTAATGCGGAGGTCTTCATGTCGTTAAAATGCTTCGTCACTGCTCTGTCTTATGATGGAAAATGCTTATTGCATGAAATGAAAATCTCTGACTAGCAATTATTAATTTAATTTAATGCAATACAATTGGAAATAATTCAAACCCAGAGCTTGTACAACTCAGTATATATCATGTGATTGTGCAGATAACTTTTCACAAGAAAAGATATGAAGCAGATTATATTCAGTCATTCACCATTTCTTTCAACGCAATCAAATGGATGGGTGTGATATCGAGGAAGAAAAAAACTGTCCCCGTGCACCATGACCCCGGGGCACGAGAAAGGTACAGCAAATACGAACCGTTCTAACGCATGCACGAGATGAACTTTGTTCTCAAGTTCCGCAGAGTATCGTGGATTGACGTTCTGATAAACCTCATGGCCCAAGAACAATGTAATGACGTCACAGTGATTAATACCGCCATACCACACATGTCAAAATGCGAGCGCTGCCGGCGGCGACCCTGCTGCGCGAACGGAACAATTGGTACAAAGGTTTTCTGTGACACAGATAGGGTTACCCCGGTGCCCGCAAATTAACGCATGCAAACGTCACTCCTCCACTTCCCTCGATCGCCTGACTCTGTGCACGTATTCGCTCTGGTTCTCGCCCCGGCCCATAAGGTCACGGCGCCAAGTCCTCGTCTGCCGAGCCCAACAACACTTTGCATCTGCGGCACATAAACTTTTTTGAAGTGTGCAGGCAAAACTGCTTTTAGAAGAAAATGGGCGTTGCAGAGCTACTGATTTTGGCAGTTTGTGTGGCCTCCGTGATGAGCGTCCCAGCACCGTTCAGCGCTGGCAGGACGTGCCACATCGACGACCTCCAACTTAAAGAGGATTTCTCCCTGGAGAGGGTAAGTCCTGAGGCATGTTCTTGGCTAAGCTTTTGAACTACTGGGATGCAGAAGCTCTCAGAAGGTTGTCGATCTTTGGCCGTTGTTTCGAAATCAGTACATCATCAAAGTCAATAGAAAAAAATGACTAAATGTGTCCCGTCCATCACTGCCTAGGTTGAAATTTAGGCCTACATACACCTGTACACAGTTATCGGCGATTAACCAGCTGATCGTAGTTGTCAGCACTCTAATTATTGATTAATGCTGGACCATCGACCATGAGCGCGCTTATCTCGATTTCAAAACCAGTTACAGGTCGCGAGTGTTTTTTTTCCTGTAAGAATGCCGCGCGGGTTCGGCATTCGAACTTTTCTGGAGGCTGTCTTTTCGTTTCCTTTTGTGGGACATCAAGCGAGTTAACCTTATACAAAGGATTGTGAGTGACGCAATTACGTGGACGGGACGCAAGGGGGGGGGCATGTGTCTCCCCTTCCCATATGACATTTTGAAATGTATACACAACTTATGTACAAGCCACAATTCACCAGCTTTAGGTGCTGAAAACAACGCGTGCGCCCCCCGAGAAAGTTTCACCCTTGTGCTATAAGTGTGGTATTTTGACCGCCAAAGGCACCGTTGGAATTTGATGTCCCCGAAAGCACGTGCTCATCTATGGAGGCATCTACCGACGTTTCACAGGACACTCCTGGTGGCCCCCTTGAATGGCGGCAAGCGCTAGGTTGGGTCTTGTAGGGAGCTACTGTCACGGCACACTGGTTTTGCACAATATCTGTCACAACGCAAAAAGCAATTACAGGGGGCCGCTGCAAATAACCAGTAATGGTGTTACCATGGTTACTTCATCCATCTTCGAAGAATGGTATACGCTTGTGACGCCAAGTACAAAGTTGGGACGAACGCAAATGCAGTTCGTCGGAGGCGGCGTATCGGGCTTTGCGTGTGTAATATCGCATCACATCTTTCATTGCAATCTTTCATATTTGTTTTTAATCTAATCCACCGGTGGTGGTCCAGGGCAAATTGCAGTCTATTCCCAGAAGGTTAAAAAAGTTCGAGTCGAGCCTTTTTTTGCCGAGTCTTTTCTCTTGTAACTCTTATTGTTACAAGATTGATTGCTGCTCTACTAAAAGCTCAGTTTTCAAGGTACAGACCCAACTTCTTTGCTAAAATGAAAATAAAGTTTTATTACAAAAGAACAATTGTGTTCGAAAAAATGAACGCAATACACTCGGCTTCTCCCTATAAGTAAATTGAATTTCACATCTAAAAAACTTGAGTACGAGTGAGTCGTATCCAAACTTTGTTCTTATGCGATGCTTTAAAAATTGAACTCCTACAGTTTATGGGAACATGGTACGTGGAAGCGCATGTACAGCGGACACACTATCCCTACCAAAGACGCTCCCACTATGGGTTACGCCAAGACGGGACTCTCTTTATGAAAACTAACAGAGTTATGAGGTAAGTGTGAGTATCATGGAGAGTTTACCACATAGCTGAATCTTGTATAAGAAATCAAGTTCCTCTGAACAACACCAGCATTCGATGTTCATTTGGTGTTCTGTGCTCTGTAGATTGCAGTTTCTGAATCGTTTAATAACACGGAACAAACAAATCTTTGTATTATTTTGAAGCTGAACACCCAGTATGCGCTGGGTCGACATATATCATCAACATTCTTGCTCACAAAGGAGATAAGGTAAGGACAATGTTTTTGTGTACGGAATGCGAGCGATTTGAGCTTGACATCTGACCATAGTTATGTTGAACCTACGGACTTTTAAAAATACATTCCAGGAATAAACATGAAATGCTAAAAGAGCATTTCCCTCAAAAGGATCGTTTTGTTCACGGATTCACTGAAGAGGCCATTACACGTACGAAACCGAAACAGGCCAAGTTTCTTTTCTAGAATCGTATGGAGACAGTCAGATCGTGTACCAGTACATATTCGATAACATAACCAAAATTAACCCCTGCTGATATCATAAAACGAGGAACATTTGTATTGCAATTTTGGACACCCTTTTTGGCGAATGGAAGTGACTCACAGACTACTAGATATGAACTTGGCTCTATAGCCCCCTCTCCCTCCTGACCGCAGTGAAACCTCCTTGAACTTTAGGCTTTACTATTTTTGTTAATCCTGCTTTATTTGGTGTCTTTGAATCGTTTCACAACAATTCATAAATGAAGTGCATTCAACCATTACAGGTTTCCATCCTTTTTACACTGATGCATTTTCTGCAAGCTGCCTCCATTAATCTTCTCCGCTCTTCACATAAAACCCAAACTTTAGGGGCAATGCAGATTGGCCCCAAACACTGCTCCGTCTTCCGTCAGATGAAACAAACAAAATTGGCTTGGACAATAACTCAAATTGCAAGACATTGTTCAAACTTAAACTAAATCGGAGCGCAAAAATGTCGTGTCACACTCTCACGGCGGCCAACTAACAACGCAAAATGGCAAATTGTACAACCAAATTTTACACTGAGGATTTATTTGGGCGTTGTGTAAAACGATTAATGAATGTTACGTATACAGACCTGGCGACTGTAATTCGTGGAATTTTGAAGCCCGGGCTACGGCCAACGGAGACTCCGACAACCCGGCCAAGATGCTACTGTACCCACCCATGCCCAACTATCCACCAGGTTAGATAAGGTCATAAATCACAAAACGGGTAATTACTCTTCGAATCAAATTCTTCTGTTTCAGTGAGATCTAGAATTTGCAGTGGGAGGACACATGGTTCTTTTCAGAGAGAATTAATGTTCTCTGCTTGGTTAAAAAAAATCTGAATATGCAACTCTACATTTGCAGATTTTTTTGCAGTCAGAGAAATATAGAAGTAAGTTGTGCGTTAAATATGAAAAGTCAAGTAACAAAGTTCGATCAGGCTAAAATCACGTTTACTTTAACTACGAGGGAAACACGGGACATAAGAAACCCCCTCCCCATCTTCAATTTTGTTCGTGAGTGAAACTACATTTCTCAATCATCATTTTCACGCCAGAGGACTACTGGGTGGTGAGTACGGACTACACAGGTTACGCCTTGGTGTACAGCTGCGGTGAGCAACGGTCAGACGGCTCGTGCACGAGGCGCGGCGAGCACGCTTGGCTCATGGCGAGGTCCGTGGGCGGTGTACCCGGGGAGGTACGCGCCAAAGTCCCAGCAATGATGTCAGCACTTTGCATACGCCCAGAGCGGCTTCGCGATGTTCCAAGAGGTAAGCAATAGAAAGAGGAAAAAGAAACGAATCAGAAAAGTAAATCGAGCAAAAAATGCCACAGTTCAAATTAAAACAATCAAACAGAAAACAAACAAACAAATACCAAGAGCAACACCGAAACCACCAGAACTTAAGTTAAATGTTTAAAAATTTACACCATACAACCCAAAAAGTACAAAAACAATTTGGCAAACGACGGTTAGGAGGTGGTAACATTACACTCATTTCTAAACATGCACTCATTTCTAAACATGGGTATAAGATGGGAAACACCATCCCAAAACGAGGTTTACATTGCCCGAAATTTCTGAATTACTGATTCTGAAAAATCAACACTTTTTGGTCTTATCAGATGACCATACCATAGCGTGTTAATTTAACACCGCTTGTGTTACTTTGCGCACCTTTAAGTGTTACAGTGCACTGGAGGGTGTTAAATGAAACATCAAATAACAAAGAATTTTTAACACCAGTGAAAGGTGTTTGTGTAGTCCTCTGATAACACCCGAGTTTTGGTAGTGTAAAAAGCAGATTGTCCCAGAGCTTTCTTCACAAAGGATTTGAACTTCGATCAGTTTGGAGTTCTTAAAAAGAGTACACAAGTACAATGGTATTAGAAACATAAAGAAAACAACCCACTTACACCTGGATGGGTGGGAGAGCATCACAAAACACTACATGTCTCCCTAGAATGTTAACTCACATAAATGAAGTATTAAGGACTGGCAATCAAAAACAAAACGAAACGAAACAAAAAAACAAAAACAAAAAAACAACAACAACAAATACAAAAAAAGAAAGAAAAAAACCCACACATTTACCTTACATACCTAGAGTGGACAATCCTTTCTTTTTGTGCAGTTAAGAAAACTCAGTGAAAATACTCGTTTTTCTTGAACTAGGAACACGATTTTCAGCTGGCTTTTTGTACAAGGTTTCCTTGACTATTCCTCTTCCTTTTACAACGGACGACCCCGACCCCCAAATGCCTCTAAACCTCTTTTTCAGAGAAGGGGAAATGTCCTGTGGACGTGTGAAAGTCCACAGAACGTCTTCCTTCCCTGCATCATGTGGACATCTTTTGTTCAAAAGTCCACACTAGGTATGTAGTAAGGTTAACGCACCAACACACACACAAAATAATAATAATGATGATGCCCTCGAGATATTCAATAATTTTCGACATTCTGTCTTCAAGATGGGGGAAATGGTCCTCCAGTATGAAGTTCACTTTTTACATTCTAAGAAGCCCCCTTCACAAGCAGATGATTTCTTGCATTGCAGATTGTGAGAAAGAACTAACTCAAACGCCTACCCATCTCACCCCACCCGCCGCAGGATGTCGGGACGACGACGACAACACAGAATGCAGACAGGGTAAGTCCCCCGGACGGAACAAAGTATGGGTCACTGTTAACTGGGTTAAACACAGGCGCCAGTGGACTTCTTGGAATTCAAACTGTTCTGTCTCTTTAATATATAATATACTTCTGTAGAAATATAAACCTGATCGCCTTGAATTCCACAGTCCTATATATGCAGACTTCTTCGGGCAGCAGCCTTGTTCAGACGTTAACATTCATGTGTAAATGACTTTGCGATACCAACTCTCAAAATACACGTAATTAATTTTTCTCATACATACAGTCTCTCAGGAAAAAACTCCTGAGCCCGGAGTCACAAATCAATTTAACCAAAATGTGTGATTCGTGAAAATGTAGGGGGAAAGGGGAAAAATAACATCTGCAAAAATTCAACTTGCTGAATCACAGCTGCATACTTGTTTTAGTTTCAACAGCCGTTTGATGCCAGGAAATGACAAACACGACTATAAAATAAACTGCTTACCCCCTGAATCCCAGGTTTTAAGCAATTAAGAATAATAAAAGGACTGCCTACTGCACCATCATTTATTTCAACCACAAACAAAACTAAGGATTATGTAGCAATTCATATTTCTTCTCACACCATAGTCAGTAGTACTTTAACACGGCATTCCTGATGCACAAACCAAATGTTTGGGTATAACACGTTCTCAACTTGCTGCACACCCATGCAACCAGGAAGTAAGGGGTGAATCATGGGGCAAGACCAGCAGCAAGTGTTGACAATGTTTTGCCTCCGTGTGCAAGAGTTAGAAGGTCAGAGAGAGACCCTGGGGTTCGCAGACATACCCTTGGGCTATCCTGTGCCACTTCCTCTGATTTTATGGGATGGGAACTACAGAATGGATTACAGACCCCCCCTCCACACCACTTGGGAAACTTTTCCTTTGGGTAAACTTCCACATTTTACAGCAGATCTGAGGAAGTTGTAAAGTCTGTGTGATCTATTAACCTATTCAAAAACCAGATTCTAAGTAGCCAAGAGCTCTGAACAACATACTGTCTTGTCATCTGACATAGTTGTTTCCACTCTCAACTTCTGGTCTGACTTTATCTCTGAAAACGAGGGAAGGTATGAGAAAGAGGCATGTCTGGAAACCTGAAACAGGGGGTCTGCATGGCTGCCATCTTGCAGGCCAGTGTTTTTTGTTCCACAAGGAGGTTTCCCTGTGGAACAAAAGAACTGCCCTCCAAGATGGCGACCATTCAAAGCCTCTATAGGATATGTTCTTTGCAGGGTGGATCGGGTGGACTGAATGATGGCCATGCCCCCTCAACAAAAGGAGCCTCCCAAAATTGTTTTTTGAAAAACAAGAGCAAAGAGATTTTTTGGTGTCTATCATTTCCCTTCCTTCAAAGAGCAAGCAAAAAGCCTCAAAATGTAGCCACATCCCTACAGATACATGGTTGCAGAAAAAAATAATTTCCAAATTTTGTGACCCCAAAAAGTTTGCCCCCAACAGACATAAACATTTTCATTTGAAATGAGTTACTTCACTGTCCACAACATATTGCAAGTTATTTCATTAGAATGAGCAGTTAATTGATAAATTTGACCCATCCACAGGTCCCAGTGTGAGCAACGCATGTGCGACTGCTAACTTTCGCTTACAGGAGGATTTCATTATAGAAAAGGTAATTAAATCTTTGAACAAAATATCCAGCAAATAGCAATGGTTAAGATCTCAATTATAACAATTGCACAACCTTCTAGCAACAAAATGAAAGCATGTCTGTGCATACACATACAACAAAGAATCCACCCATTGGCAGCACTTTATAACATACCCAAGGTAAATGGAAGCACTGAAACCACCTGACGCTATTCTGAAGGTCCTAGCTTGTTTCTGTCTCTCTCTTGTTCAGTTTCTGGGTGAGTGGTATGAGATAGGCCACACCAGGATGCCCGACAGCACCCTCAAGTTGCCCGACATGCGCTCTATGCTGTTCAGTCGTGATCCCACTGGTCAGGATGCCCACATGTCACTCCTGATGAAAGACATCAAGCTGTGAGTTTTTATCTCTCCAAAATTTGAATGCATCTTTTCTTTAAACACAAAAGACCTATCTGTTGATGGGAATATTATGTAAGTTTGCCCTGTAAACTAAGCATATCAAACACTGAATATTAAATCTGAGACATGAAATGATTGTATCCAATAAACTTTTTGAAAACTGTGGATATTGCCCCCTTTCCTTTTTAATTTAAATACATGTCCATGAAAATTGTACCAGCAACAAAAGTCAAGGAAAGTTCGGCTAGTTAGCTAAATTCCTTTGTCCAAGTGCTTAACTCAATGACTTTCTTAATACTGGTCACAACTTCTGGACAGCAGGACTCTTGTAAAGCCTCTCAGAAAGACTTTAAGTAAGCCCCTGGTTGGACAAAACATTAACCACAGTCTTGTCAATGGATTCTTGCCTCAAAAAAGTCTGATCCCTGCTTGAAAAAATACACCCCACGATAAGTCCCAACTTTTTGAACAGTAAACTCAACTAAGCATTAAGTCTCAAGTCTCTGCAATTCCCTCTTTTAATAGGGCTAAATCAGGTACATTTTTTCTTTACTGCTGTTGGTAGGGAGGGACGATGTGGCAACATGAACATGCCAGGGTCGGGCTGGCTGGGCCAGGATAACCCCGCCAAGATCCTTGTCAGCTTCCCTATCCCTGCAAAATACGGAGTCAGTGGGGCAGGTGGGTGTATGATGACGTGTCATGCCACCTGGGTCACAATTTCAAAGGCAAGATTGGACAAATACATCGACTGGGAATGATACAGCAATGTTGGGGTTCAACCCACTTCCTATGGTCAACCAAGACTGGTGGTTCAAGGCGGGGCGTGTCATCATGTGGACGGCCTGAATGGTGTACGAAGAGGGCACCTTGTTCAGCACGTGACAAACACATGCATAGTTGGCAGTCATCAGTGTAAAATAAACTGATATATGAGCAAAATATATAACCTCAGTATGGTCCTCAAGTAAACACCACTTATTCTTGGAGGCAGAGTTAACTTACATATCGCTTCAAGAGTCACTGATAAGATGACTTTAATTTCATCAAAGTTCATTTCAACCAGAGCATTGCTATCTGTCATATTGTTGCTTCAGTTACACAGCTGTGTAAAGTTCATGAATTCCTGCCTCTAAAAACTTTGATCCCTGCCAAAGTCCTAAGTCACAAATAGTAGACTGAACTAAACACCTTCCTTCTTAAGTCTCCCTAAAATTAACATTTCACATCCAATATTGAACTATTTTCCTTACTGTTGCTTGACCAAGGAATTTTTTTTAACTTATTTACTTTATATTTCTACTTTTTTCCCCCCAAAAGGGGGAACTTTATTATTACCTGAGAGAACCTAAAAAAATATCATGAGAGGATGCAATATCAAAATATAATTGTGGATCAGTTCTAACGCGACACACGTGAATGTAAGTTTGGATGAAAATATGAAATGGTAGAAATAGGGAAATAAGGTTTAATTTGAACACCTGTGTTGATACTCACACTCTGGTAATGGACCTGCTTGTACTGAATTTGATATAAGATTTTGCCAGCTCCAAACGTCTTAATGTTCAAATTGGTTTGATTTCAGTGGAATATTGGATTCTGTCTACTGACTACACCAATTATGCAGTCACATACTCCTGCCATCACACATACGAGGATGGCACATGCGACAAACAGAGAGAAGCCTTGTGGGTACTGAGCCGGACTCCGACCCTACCCGAAGGGGTGGGGAGAAGGGTGGATGAGGCCATTAGAGGGGCGTGTCTGGACCCCGTGCAGGTCACCGACAATCTTGGTAGGGTGAAGACAATGCAATGAACTGCTCAGAACTGTCAAATGAATCATGACGAAGACCCTCACAGAATATCGGATACAGCATACACAAGGCACTGGCAGATAATCTTTGTTAAACAAAAGTAAATGATGCCAAACCTGCTCTGAAATCAGTCACACATAGAGTACATTAAAGCCTGGTGGAGAAATAGTCTTATATTCAGGATTGCAAAAATATTGAAACTATAGCACCTGGCAAGTGCACAAAAATTACAAAATGTATGGGGGTTGTGTGATCCAATTAATTTGAGGAGTGTCATGCCGGATGTCACATACCCTTCAGCTCTGATTTAGAAAGTCAAATATTTGATACGGTTGGGATCAATAATTCTGCCCCATCCTATGTAAGAAGAAGTGCAGATGCAATGTCAGGTTCTTCACATGAGTGCTACGTGATATGCATAATGATCTGTGGGAAAACAGTCCTTCCTGTTGTCTGATGTCCCTTGTGAGGGGTCTTGTACTTGTACACTGTACATATAAAGATGGTAATCGTGCTTGACTTGACTCAACATAAAGTATTATGTGATATGAACTAAAGATTCTCCAACACAGACCAAATTTGCACAAGGTATTATATGTACACAGAACATTGTGGGCAAACAGTATCTCTACTTTACATTAACAATACGAACTTTTATGATAAAGTAAATGTTATACAATTTTGAAAGTCACCAAACCTGTTTACACTTTCAACTTGTAGAGGTATGCTACACAACAGAATTGGGTGAAGGAAACGAAACACATGCTGGTAAGATTTCTGTCCAACTTCCCACATTCTGAAAAGGGTCCCTTATCAGATGTTAACTAGACAGAAACAAATCTTTTATGAGTTTGACACCTATCACTGTTTCAGAATTCTACAATTGTTGCAATTGAAATCAAGATTGGCGGTTTTGCATGCAAACAAGAGGGCTTCATTTAAAATCTGCCTTGAGGGCAACAGGCATAGGCAAAGTGTTGATGAAAATGCGAAAAACCCTACAAAAACGTAACGCAACAAGGCAGGTAACGCAAAGAGCAAACACTGTAGAAATATGATGCATCGAAAAAGTTGTAGGCATCCAAAACAAATTCAAGTGATCAACTGTATCAGCAAAGTTATGAGAGCTGATCAACGAATCACATCTTTTGGCTGAAATAACTTGAAATCAAACTCTTTCCGACCAAGTTAGCCTTCAGTCTCACGACAAATAACACAGACGATCTGGTTCTTTCGCTCAGTCATACAGGGCAAGGCTGCTGTGACCAGCGGATGTGATCCAGCCACAGCTAAGTATGGATGCTGCTTGCTCAACAACAGGCCTGCCACTGGGCCAAACTACCAAGGATGCCCTCGTGAGTCAGCCAAGTATTCCCTACAGATGCTGCTCTTAAAGACGAGAATGTCCATAACACTGAAAATGAAAGTGCTGTGTAAAGAGTGCCCTGTTTTTAAAAATATGTTTCTCTCAAGGAAAGGATTGTTGACTCTTATTTTTCATTGTCAATTTTGCTCCTCTACATGCCATATAAAAATATTTAACAGCCTCATTATACATCCTGGCAAAAAAAGTGTCTTGTGTGATGACACAAATGTTATAGTTGAGGTCATGTGTTCAAATCAAACTTCTGGGCACTCAGTTTTTAGGGTTGGTTGTGGGCAGTGATAAATATGGATTGTTCACAACTAACTCTTGCTAGTTGCTACAGTCTACAGGTAGCCCTCTGAAACTGCGATTGTGGACAATTGAATGTAGTTCTTGTAAAATGTCTTCCACAGGGACATCATTCCCCAAAACTCCACTCACATTCTGAAGACTTCAGAATAGTGGTGCACCTGATTTGACAGGAGCTGATTTGCACTGCAATACAAACATGGCACCAATGAATTAGTAAGGAGGTTAACCAAGAACACAACTTGGCTGGTTTTTTTTAGGCGTTAGGCCACCTGTTGCTGGTCAGGACATTGACTCGAGGCCGGTCTCTGAAGTTGTCAGACCACAGCCAATGGCCCTGGCCATGACTGCTCCTGAATCATTCAAAGTCAAGACAGGTACAATAAGCGAGCATTCCTCTATCAAATGCATTGGCTCTCTCTTCCTCACAACCACAGCCTTGACGTTTTGGTACGATGCACAAAATTAATTCCACTGTCACAAGTTTCAGGGAGAGTTTCATATATCCTTCAATGCACTAAATACGTCTCTTCATGGATATGCTTGATATAGGAATCACTCACTTCTGAGCAGCTATTCTCAGAAAGAATTGCTGTAGAATTAAAATCTGGGTCCTGCCCTCAGCATGTATTGAAATTGTCAACCTAGAAACATTTTGATGGATGAGAAATAATATCTGGGTCTTGCTCACAGCATGTATTGAAATTGTCAACCTAGAAACATTTTGATAGATGACACCAACATCACAGATAACCAAAGAATCACAGTTCAGACAGATTCTCTCAAAATAAAACCATCTATGTGCTTGAATTCAATCATAATGAATATGTGAAAGGGAAAGACTTGGAAGCATATTTTGTTTTTTTCCTTTGTGTCAGTTGAGTGTGATGAAAAGATCATCTGCAAGATTTACTGTGAGTATGGCTTCAAGAAAGACGAGAACAACTGTGACATTTGCCAGTGTGCGGAAGAGCCACAGGGTAAGAGAGGAAGATGACATCAAACATAAGTAATGAACTTAACACTAAAAGGGTGGGGGAGGAGGGGGAAGAAGATTCTGTTCTCCTCAGAGAACTCTGCTCTTCCATGTCTGGCTTTTCTGAAACACGTGAAGACCTTGATTTTTAATGCAAGTGCCAAAGTTTGACTCAATACAACATGAGGCCTTGTTGTTATGGTACTTTGAAGTTCAGGGCCACATAAGTCTTGGCCTGTGTGCATTGAGCATGTAAGTAAACAGACCATTTGTTTTTGACTGACCTGTTTTGGCAAAATGGGCACTGTATGAGTACAATATATCCAATTTCAAAAGGGACCACAAAACATTACTGAAAAAAATTCAAAGGGCTTGGCAGGTGAAAAATGTTGCAGGGAGGATCCCACCTCTGGCCCTTATAGGGTTAAAACATATTTATTCATGGGGTGTAACAAATCCTTCAGACATTCCCATGATGTATAGGGGTTGACCACTGATGTCAAACACTTTCAGCTTAGTAATGTAAATTGTAAGTAAATGTATAAAGTGGGGTTTGAACCTGATGCCTATGGAAAAACAATCCACCCTATCTTACATAATCTCCCAATGACAAATTGTGCCACTGGAAGATTTTGTTTTGTTTGTGATGTTTTATGAATTTTTTTTGTCTTGTATTGGCTGCTTAGGTTTTTGCAAGCCCTCAGAGTTTTGAGCCCAATTCATACAATCAAACCCCTGGTGTGCTCCATGACTGTGCATTCAATCAGAACTTATTGGTTCAACATTACGCGAAAACATATACCAACTTTCCATATATCTAAAAATGTAACAAAAAATTCTTCATGATTGACTAGTAAACTAATCCATGTGATCTGTGCTCTTCATTTCACAGAGCCTAGCACTGAAGGTCATATGATGCGTGAGGCAGCCCAAAAGACCAAGATTGTGTCGTGTCTCCATCAAGCTCCGAGTGCTACCAAGATTGGCCTGCCAATTCTGGACTGTGCACCAGATGGCAGCTTTTCGCCAGTGAGTTCAGCAAAAAAAATCATGCTCTTTACTGGTTGATGGCAGCAAACCAAGTGTACAGATTTGAATTCTTATTCAAAATGAAGAAGGGGATGAAAGGGGATTTTGTTACATGAATAATCTCTTCCTGCCGGGGACTTCGGAATCGGAGACATATGCTTTATATGCGTGGCTGGGGTCTCCAAACTCGGACAAAGGAAACAGGGCCCTGTAACAAAAGACTGTACTCCAAACAAAAGACCAGGCTGCTGGGCATTATCGACATTCTTCACTCTCAAAAGTGGTGATAATCCAGCCTTGTTTTGAAACCGTATACCAGGGTTTGGGGCATTTAGAGCGAGCGAACTACCACTGGGGACAAAAGCGCTCCACCACCGCAGTGACGAGCCACACAGCATCTCTGCACGCTAATCTGGCCGCTATTGAAAAGAGGTCAGCAGTGCACTGAGCCAGGTTCGTGAACAAAAGAAAGTTACATAACACTACACAATCTGGGCTCTTTTTACAAGGCTGCAGGCCTGGCTGAAATACTTGGGCGTCAATGAAGGTCACCTGTCAACTTAGAATAGTTCCTAAAGATTACTTCGTGCAGCTATAAATGTCCATTAAATGAAATGATGAATTTTTGAAGATTTTTGAAAACAGAAAAAATGATAATTATGCCGGCTCAGCATCATCAACATTGAAAAATTCCCCAGCCTGAAGTGGTTAAACTGTAGATATTTAATAAAAGTATCTGGGTGGAGTTGCACCATCACAGTTTTGACAAAAAAACAAAATATGGTTTAAAATGAAAATGGTTTTAAAATGTTCTGACAAGGTTTATTGTTTTATTTTTTGTTAGTTTGTTAAAAACAGGCCTAAGACAGGTTTGGATTTCCGTAAGAATGTGTCAAAATGAGATCATAAACATTACTTTGTTATTTGATTTCAAGTGCTTGCTGTAACTGAATGGAAGTTTCACAAAGAAAAAGTGAGAGGGCCATTACACAGCTTTTACTGTCCTTGCAGATTCAATGCCATGGGGAGGAATGTTGGTGTGTTAACCCGACGACCGGTTATGAGCTGAGAGGCACAAGGGTCTCTCATAACACAAAGCCTGACTGCAGTCAGGTCCTGACTCCTGATCAAATGGGTATGTTTCAGTGTCTGTGCTCTGAATTAATTCTGTGTGGCTTTCATCTCCTGGTGCACTGTGTGAGTTTTCACCAGCTACACACTTATGATGGGACCTATCAAACTGTTCCTTGAAATAGTCTAGACTTCCAATGATGAATATTTGACTGATAATCAAATATTCAAATTTTGGCTTTTGGATTCAAATAATCATGGGTGTAATACAATGAAATAAGCAAGAAAAAACTCAGTTTCCTTATAACAAAATGGTTTCCTCAGTAAGCATCATTCAAAAGGGAAAACAATGGTTGTGCTCTCCCTGTCCAACTAATCCAAAGTTTTTTTAAATGTACGATGTGTTATTTACGTATCGAAAAAATTGCTGCTCTGCAAGCTTGGCGGATTGAAGATTTGCCAAACAACTGAATACTTTGATTGGATTTGATTATTCAATTGAATCAGCCCTACACTGAAAGTATATACAATGTAAAAGTCATTAGGGTTACAAAGAGTCTGGGTTAACAGATCAGCTGATGGAATCAATCTCGTTTTGGCTCTAAGAGGCCAGTAGCGAGTTACCTGGTGTTGATGATATCCTCCTTCTAGGGATGAGTCAATTCGAATAATTCACTAGTAAATTTTTTCATGAATAATTTACTTTTTGTAAGAATTGTTGCTTTTCATTTGAATCTGCTTGAAGCAAGCTTACAAAATGCAATTTTTCTCATAAAAAACAAAAGGAAATTCCCCTTTCCTGTTCATGAAGTTTGCATTCAAAATATTGAAATTCAGAAAATAATATTTGATAATCAATTGAATATTCGGATATTCCTACCTCCCCCCCCCGCAGTTTATTTTAACAATAAACTTACCAACACATTTCTAACCATTGGCAGTTCCTGCACAGACTTCAGACTGCTTGGCCCGCCGTTTGGAAGCCCAGTCCTCACTTGATGTTCACGAGGGCTCCGGTCATGCATACATCCCTGACTGTGATGAGCGCGGACGGTACCGGCCGGTGCAGTGCTACCTGGAGATGAATATGTGCTGGTGTGTGGACATGCACACGGGCGAACAGCTAGGGGACAGTGTGTCTCACCAGATGCTAAAATGTGCCCCATAGTGTCAGGGGAAGTGTCATATGCTGTAACAACAAAGCACAGACATGAAAAAGTGTTAAAATTTACTTTACTGTGTGCTCGAATATATTTGAAAAACCTATTCGATTCTAGGTACTGGGTAGTTTTTATTCTAAATCCCTGTACATGCTGAATGAAGACATTAACTCCAGAGGTTGGGTTAATTTAACAACAAATTAATGATTCACCCATCAAAATGCTAAACACATTCATTTACTCATACAACCTATGCTGTGGTGGACCCATGCATTTTGTACACCAATCACTGAAGTACATGTAGATGACATCTCTCTTTATCAAGAGTGACAGGAATTCATCTTTGATCAAAACATTAAAGAATATTCACAAAGTTTTGGTAAAAATAAATCACTCCATAAATACTCACCAAGGCAGAATTCCTGTCATAGGTACTTTGTATCACTTCAAACAAGTTGCATTCTCAAATACAGACAGGCCAATACCAAACAAGGTTCAAATGTAAGTATTGAATTGTTCAAATGTATCCCGGTTTGGCAGTTTTTAATACATGTCTAACAAGAAAATGCAACAGAATGTTCTGTCTTTTCGTCTACAAAGCAAATTAACAAGCAAAAAATGCATGCAAATGTTTGTAAGCAATTTTCAAGAAATATCTAAACAAAATATATCTGCTTTCTGCACACTATTTCCTAAAAAAAATAATCTTATGGTAGAAGCACAAATGCATGTTTAGTTACACCAACTTGAATTGTGTTGCAGCAACTGCTTACTTGAAACAACATAGCGTCCAGAAGCTGTCAGGCCTGACATGGCCCACATTGGCTGACAACAATCAGAATGGTCAACTTTGTTTTGGTTTTTTGTTTTATAAACATGAAAGGTTAAAGATTTCACAGCAGTTACAAAAGGAGTCCATAACATAAAAAAAAAGATATTACAATGCACAGTTTTCTAGAATAGTCCTACTGAAAAAAGGCATATAATTTGCCAGGCCATTTAAAATGCTCTACTATGGAACTATGGAGCTTCATCAATTAAGGGCACAGCCAAAGCCACATTTAGTATTCCAAAGGCCCGAGGCACCAGTGTTGCCCTCAAAGTTTGAAGTCCCCCCTTCAAAAAAAAAAGTCTCTGAGAGAGCTACTGGAACTTTTCTTGTACATGTGCGTGAAAGTTTGTGCTTGTGTTTTATGGAACCCTCTATGGTATTTTTTGTAGGCCCTCTCATTTTTGTAGGCAGCCAGATTTTGAAGGCCCCTGGCATACAGTGCATTATTTTGGATGATCTGGCCTTGGGCATGACATGAGGTAAATGCCTTTCACTGGAAGGGTAAAGATAAAGCAATTTTGAAGAGAATGCATGTATTTTTGAAAAATATAACTACAATAAGGTGTGCATTGTGTTTAGACAAAGCAAACTTTTATTTGATTGAATACCAGCTGTTGTGCATCCACTGTAAAAATTGTTTCAGATTTATATATATATTTATACATGTAATATTATTAATCGGAATGGATGTATACATTTGGGTTTAAAAGCTTCAAATTACTGAACTGTAAATCAAAGATGGCAAGAATTGGCAGTAAAAAAAACAACTGAGAGGAATGTTCACTTGAATTACACTGCTGTGCATTTTTTTTGGATTTGTGCCACGTGATGCCCATTCTTTGAAATCTTCTCCAGCGTTCACAGTGCCGGTCCTACTGGACAAGACAAAGACAAGCTCCACCCACTTATTTGCATATCTCATTCATGATTTCTATCAGAGGATGTGAACATCTATTAACTGCTGGAACTAGACCAGCCAATCTCCAGCACACGGTGTATATACAAGCTTTATGGCACGGGAAAAGCTAGCAGGCATGGCTACTAAAACTCTATCATTAATCTTTTATTAAACAAATATTTTCTTACAAAATCCATATTTCATAAATATATACTTTTAAAAAGGGATCACTCATGTCACTCATGAACTGGCGAAAATTTCCTGTGGAAATGAATACAAGTACTATGTGAATGAAGTATGCATAAAAATGTTAAAAGGAGGTATTTTTTTCAATATGACAACTACTTTATTGCATATTAAATTCATGAGAAGTCTTCGTGACCTTTAATACATTACTGCAGCTTACATGAAATATGGAAGAGGATAGGTCAAGAACTATCTTAGGCTTGGCTCCCATATATACCTATTCACTCACTGAAACACAGCATAATATCCTGTGTCAGCTGTTGTCAGACTGTACCAATAAACACTGACAAGTGTGCAGGTTCAACTGTAGAGAAACAATGTACTAACTGGTTAAGCAAACAACTAGTTGACTATCCCATCCCCAGACTTTCCATATACATGTAGTCAAAAAACTGTTTGATATGCCAGCGGTAATGAGATGTTGAACTGAGCCTGTGCTTGTGTCAAGGGTTTTCAGCCAACTCCCTGGGGCAGTCAGGAAGACAATATTACCCAGGAAATTTACGTGACGAGTGTAAAACAATCACTAACACTGTAGCTGGAAATTTCCATGCCAACCCCAAGCTTTTTCGGATTACGTGCACGTTGTTACATGCATGATCAAACTGATGCATGATCATTAGCCTGCAGTGTGGAAAACCTGTCTGCAGCAGCCCCCCCCATCCAAACACCTTTGACCTTTCGTAACTCCAGTCCCTGGGGAAATTCTCAAGCATGACCTTTGACCTCAAAGAAAACACACTGGACCTATCTCCAAGCCGAACACCTGACCCTTGTTCTGATTGTAGCCCTGGGGGTTGACATCAGTGATGGGGAGCTGCTCCACATCCCTGGTTGACAACTCCATGACGGTGGTCTTTCTCTTCTTGGGTGCAACCTAAGTCAAAAGGAAAAGAGGGGGGGGGAAGATATGGTATTTAAGACAATGCTTAATAATGCAAGCAGGCCACTGGAAAAAAACAGAAAGCAAAGGGAGAAATACTGCCCCAGGTGAGTAAACTTATTCTCAGTTGCCTGTCATGAAAATACAGTTGTAAATATGTAAAACAATCCCAAAGGTGAGTAAAAGTTCATGCGGAATACTAAACAGTACACTGAACAAGTTGAAAGGTGCAGTAAGGAATACATGAATAATCTGTCTATGGTAAACAATGCTCTACCTTGTACAGGGATGTTACTTGGTAAGAAATGTATGCTTGCTGTTGAGGATAGGAAATGTGGCTAGCTCTGGACTCCAGTTGGAGTCCTTGCTTTGCTGACGCAATGGCCTTCACAGTGAGCCAGTTCAGCATGTTAGAAAGGCAAAGTCATTTGGAAACACAGCCCCTGTACAAGTCGGCATGAGGCCAGGCTGATGCAGCAGACCTCACACACGTGTATTACTGCTATCCAGTGACCTTGGTTGTGCTTAATTTTGGACATGCACTGTTGGAAGACCAAACTTGCTCACCAGTCCAGCTTGTCTACTTGAATTAGATATAGCAGCAGGTACCGAAATGCTTGAAGATGGACTGATAGCATCAGAGTGATGTACATGCCAAAATAAGGTGTTTGCAGCTTCAAGATAGATTCTACGTTATTTGTGCTTTCTGAGGGCTTGTGGCACAACTTCACAAGCTTACTGCTTAACAGCGTTAACCTCAAAGCCTGAGCTTGCTAAGTGTAGCTGGCTGATTTCCATTCAATGTACCTGGGCGCACGCAAGTTAAACACAGTGAACTGGACAGTCACATTTCAATGGTCAGAAGGTAATGGTCCAACCAAAGGATCATGGAACGTATGTTCCCGAGCAAGGCATTAAGCAGTAATATAGGGCTGACCCTTCTTTTCAGCTCTCTGCAGTATATGCATACAGCAAAGTTAGCCTCATTGCCAGTTATTGTAGCCCAGTGGTTAGGGTTTGTAGCTTCTAATCATAGCGCTGGGGGTTTGAATCCAGGCAGTGACAGCATGTGGGGATCTTGGGCAAGTCACTTAAACCCCTCTTTCCACCCTGGAGTAAATGGGTACCTGTGAGGGTAGATTGGGTTATATCAGCCATAGGCACCTGATATGGCAGCATCAGCTATTATACTCCCCAGGGAGATGAGATGGTTTCAGGAATGTTCAGTTGTTGTGAGCCCAATGTGCCAGGATAATGATAGTACAGTGCCTTGAGCATGAGTTGTGATGGATATGTGCACTATATAAATATCCACTTTTATTATTGTTATTTATGTTGAATGCCACCTGTGTGCCAAGTAGACAGTAACTCCAACCAAAAATACAGCTGATGGAATGAGCGGTTGGCCTACCATACAATCATCTAGTGCTACTTGTAGCATGGGACTCTCGTGGGTTATTATGTCATCATTGTATGCCTTGAATTGGGCAGATTTGTCATAGTGGTCCCCCTTCTGGTGGTAGTAAGCCACACCACGTTGACATGTGTAGGTTACTCTGTGGGATAGCACAGGAAAGAAAATGGGAGTGTTGCTGTTATATGACCACGGTAATGCTACGAAAGGGCTCGATTTCATGGAGCTGCTTCACGGTTAGCAGAAAAGTTGTGCTAACTTTAGCAGAAACGTTTACTTACCTTAAGTACTATTTCATGGTGATGTTTGGCCTGGTTGTGCTAACGGTTGTGAACACATAGAGATTTCTATTGTTACATAACTATTTTTAAGCACATCTTTCTTCTGAGGTTTACATACTTCTGGTTGTGATTACCCTTGTAGTCTCCACAAATGCATGGAGCCTCTGTAAGCACGAAATCATGTGCTAAAGTAGTGCAGTGAAAGCGGGCCCTGGTTGTATGCGGTGGCCCCCGCCAATGGTGGTAAGCATTGTGATAACTGTTGCACGGAGCAGAACTCACCACCATGCCTTCCGACATTAAAGGGGGCCATTAGGAATGTGAACTGATATGTCACTGGACTTGTCTACAGGATGAACCAGCTCAGAAAGCCGAACTTCAGAAACAATTCCGATTGCAGTGAGTTGTGGACACATCACTGCAACAACTTGGCTTTATGTATGTCTGATCGATTCTCTTTGCCGAGGAAAAACCCAATATGACTCTGCGTGCAGCTCTTGTATGAGCTCTATGTAGTTTCAATATAAGGCTGTGAAAAGTGAGACGCGCTTCTTTGAGGTTAATGCACTTGACTGTAATTTCACGTAGTGTAAAATCTAAGAGATACCTTATCAACTGATCTATGGACAAAGTATGGATAGGGCAAATGACAATGAAAACATGCACACTGGAGGAATGAGATTTGCCAACTTAAGTTGCCAAAGGGAAGGTCACAACTGGCAATGGTGCATAAAATGGCTGCACTTACTCTTGGGTGGCTCTTTTACTTCTTAAATGTAAAAATCTGAATTGGACTAGGCTGGCTGGGTAGGTTATCGTGAATCCCTCAGGCCAGGTGCTGAACCAGCGTGCTTCGCTGATGTCCCACGCTTTGGCTTCAATCTAAGGAGAGGAAAAATAAAGACACCTGGGAACGTAAGTCTCATCACACAAAATCAATCCACCAACAATTGAGGAACACTGGCAAAATGCATTTTGATTTTCCTGAGGAATCAACCTCCATAAATGGCAACGAGGAGGAGCCTGGTTAAGTGTTGGAATCAAGTTGGTTACAAGTCAATCACACGTCAGTCCGCAAGTCCACTCTAAGTCAGTTCACAAATCAGGTCAGAACTAAAAAGATGAACAATGACAGTGCCTTGAAAGGAACACCTGTGTCATGGTTCATGTCAATGGCTTGTGAGCTGACTCAGGTATGAATGACTTGTGACCAGGCTTGTGATGACTTGTGGTGACTTGTAATTGACTTCATTACAACTGAGTCTATTTACCATTTTCCAAGTTGCTGCTAAACCTGTTCGCAAAACAAAAGGTACAAGAACTTTGAAGTCACTCTTCTCAACTTTAGAATTTAAAAATCCAAGGGCAAAAAAGAGGGAATTGCACAAGAGACTCTAAAGACAGTCCACAAAGAGATGAGCTAAAGTTTAAGAGATGCATGAGCTTCTGTAGCGACAACTACTGCTTCAGATGTACATCAGATCTTTGTGTACAAAGCGAATTGGGAGATTAGCGTGTTTAAATGCTGGCCTGAGGGGAGCTGAGGTGTGCTGCACAGTTTGACCTGCCAGCCATGTAAAGTGGTTAAGGTACTCTGGGTTCTTGACACTCACTGTTGCAGTCACAGGGCTGACACAAGTCCTGCCGCCTCCCGACAGGTCACAGTAGGCCTGGAACTTGTCCCCTGCTGAACCCTCATTGGGATCCAGCCAGTACTGCCCTGTTTATCAAATGCCAAAAGCCTGACTTGAAACTTGTACTGCGAATGGGGATTTGGTCATCAGTAATGATCTTATTCCTGTTCAGAAAGTGTGCTCTGGGTATTAGTCATATCTCCTAATCACAAAAATGCTCAAAATGATGACAATATTTTTGGTTCAACAATGTGAAACTTGCAGTATCTCTTCAGAAGTTCTTAAAGAGAAAGATGAAATCAAGTAATTCAATATCAAAACTTTACATTAAAGCACACTAATTATTAAATGTGAAGTGGCTGTAGTAACTTATTGGTATTACACTGACTGATGGCCAGCAAATATATCAAGCGTCACTTATCTCTCCATTGTACAAAGATAATAATTTTGGAACACATTAATGTTTTAGACCTCCATGCACTTTAATCAAGTCAGGATAAATAATCAGGTTTCTGTGACAGGAAAAATTTGTGAACAGTAGGAGTTATAATTGGAATATTTATGAGCCCTCAGAAAACTTGCGCAAACTACTGAAAGGAAAATATGAGGCAGCAAAATGTGTTTACTTTGAAACTGTCACTGGAATCTACCCTTTTCAATCGTTCAGGTCAGAAGTTGTGTTTAGACACAGCGATACATGCACTTACCATCTGGATAATCTGGAAAATCTGATTTTAAGTCTTTACAGTTGACAGCTGGGTCAGCTTCAGTGCCCGTCTTCTTCCTGATGTCCGGCACAGTAACAGGCTTTTAAGAAACAGGCCAGTAACCAGACTAAATTAAGTAAAGGGCCAGGTTGAATGACAACACTTTGTCGACCATCAGTTGATTTCCCATGGTAACCAATGGATAAAATACATGCTGGGTACCAGGCAGAAAATAACACTGGTTGACAACATGTTTTTTGGATTCAAAGAGTTCACAAAACCATTCCAGGTAGTTTGTTACAAGTGGTTTTCCACTTTCCATTTAGTCTTCAATTACATAATGATTGAAAGCTTTATGAGAAGATTAAGCAGTGGGCTACATTACAGTGTTGCAAACAACGAGTGCACAATACACAAATTTGCAAGCCAAAATCAATATAAAATATGAGGTGACGCAAAATGCATTTCAATAAAATGGACGATATTTGTATTTCATTACGATACACCTCTGAAGTTGTGTTTGCAAAAACAAGGCAGTATCACTCCAACAGGCCACTGTCAATGCTGAAAGTTTATTGCTTACGAATCAGTCACTCCCAAATCTCTGAAGAGTCAAAATGATGGCGACTCTTATCCAGCAGGTTAATATCCAATTACTTACCGGGGTCGTTGGAGGTGTCACCGAGGGTGGAGGACTGGGCAGAGGTTCCGTGCCTGCAGGGGGACCGGGGGGACCTGGGGGCCCGGGAGGACCCTGAAACACAATACCTGTATCTCATTAATGGCGGAACAAAAAGTTAGTTGGGTATTAAGCAGCGCATGCCACAAAAGGAAGTGAGAGGTGCATGAGAAGTCAACCTAGTCAACGTGGCCTTATGTCGATTCACACGCATTGACTATGTTCATGATTGCATATTTTCTTCTTGAATAAACCTTGTCTTTTGAAAATTTGCAGACCTGGCTCACAGAGATGGGGGTGATCATTCCAGAGAGAAAAGTCACATTTTAAATGGCATGTCCGACTGCTGCATGACGTCCATTTCTTTTAATTAATACATGTATGTAATGATTCACTCTATGGTACGTAATACATTATTAACAAGCACTGAAACAATTCATGGACCAACACAGCTTAGAAGTTAGCCTTAGCACGTATTTTTCAAGAATTCTCAGACCTACCAGCTTTTGTCAAGGATTCCTGGAACTTACTGGTACAGATGAACTAAATCTTAAGTATTCACAGGTATTTTGCACTTTTCGTTGAGGATGGAAAATCTGACTGTCAAAATGAATTTACACCTTTTCTCCTGTTGCTCCTAAAAAGATTTTATGACATGCATTTGCAGTTTGCCACATCTAAATGAATGAATGTTTATGCTCACCCTGATGCCCTTGGGGCCCTGCAAACCTTTGTAGCCATCCGGTCCCTGGTGAGAGAGAAAGCAAATATTTATACTTCCCCACTTTTTATTAACCTAATTTTCACAAGAGCAGGTTTAAAAACCAGTCTCCGTTAAAATTAAATTCATACGTTTACAGTCATTTACTCAAACCAATAACACAATTTGAAAAAAAGTTGAAAAACGTAGTATCCTTCTAGTACTTCCACTTGCAACTTTTTTTGGAAAGCCAACCTAAACTCAAGGGTAGATCCAGATGCAAACATTTGGAAGACTAACAAACTTTTTAGGGCCCTTCTGACAGTTAAGGCTGCACTGTGGTGCTTTTTACATGCTTCTGGGAAGGGAAACAACAGCCTTTCTCTCATAATAATTATTAATTTTTTTTAAACCTTGGGGGTGGGGGCGGGGCATGGCCCCGTCGGTCCCCTAACAACAAACACTGTCAGATAAGGAACTCAAGCTGTCACACAAATCAATCAGGAGAAACAATGGTGGTGCTTAGTAAATGCATCACGCTATTTCAACGTGTGAGATCTGCATAATGTTAAACTTGGTGTAAATAAAAAAAATATCTTAGATGCGGCTGGGGATATGCTGATGATCTGACTGCGGTGGAGGTAGGCGAACCAACTTACCTGTAGTCCAGGAGGCCCCTGTGATCCTGGTGGGCCTGGCTGCCCTGGATTGCCTGGTGTTGGGTTGCCCTGCAAGGGAGAAAGATGTCCAAATCAGAACAACATTAGTTCTCATCGAACAAAAATTGGTGAATGACTTTAACTGTAGTGAAGAAAAGGTTTATAAACACTTCATTAGATCTTGAATGCTGAAACTGAAAAAATGCCCCTGTTGGTCCTTAAAAAACAAATTTCTTTCAGTCCATCGACTCAATGTAGCCTTCTAGTCTTTCTGCTGGAGCAGTTTATTTATGCTTAGAAGTATGGATCAACAATGCCAACTAGAAAAAGGTTTTGGATTGTATGTTAAGAAAGCACGAATCTACATTTCTGGTAACACAGGCAATGTGATAGAAAACTCCAATGATGAGAAATCTCCATATAAGTGGTTGGAATAAATCCCAGATTTACTGCATCGAACCACAGGCCTTCTATGTGTTGAAAAGGAAATTTCCCAGCTGATACCACTAATTTGAGTGACAGTGTGCCAATGAGATACATACAAGGATTTCCATTTGGTTAATAACGGGATATGCTGTCCAAGTTCACAACATGCTCATACTTTATATAAAAAGTCTGTGACATTTTAGGCTGGACAAGTAATGTGCTAACCTTTGGGCCTTTAGGGCCTCTCACTGGAGGGTCATTTGGCAAGCCCTTTTGGCCTTTTTGACCTTTCTGACCTTGCGGTGCTTCACCTTTGGGACCCTGATCCCCCTTCTCACCCTGTCAAGAAAGATCAATGACAGACTTTACAGAGAGGAACATCTATAATCTTATTGGGAGCTTATACATGTACGTTAGGAAAAAATGTCAAGCATTCATAATGATGATAATGATAATTTATTCATTGATAAAGCACATATTCCACACAATTGGACATTGAGCTGCAATGTGCTCCAGCTGAAGGCATACAAGGGTGCCTCGGGCAGCCACCAATGACCCATATCTACCCAGAAACTGGGTTGATTTTTGAGGGAGGAGGAAAAGTGGGGAACCCGGAGAAAAATCCTTGTGACACAGCAGAGCACAAACAACTCTACTCAGATATACGGTTTGGATAAGAAACAATGTCTACAAAATGTTCTCAGAAAAATTGCCATCCTGCTCAAAGATTAAGTTGAGGGAGAGGAGATATCGGTGGGAACTGCTGGCATGGCTAGAGTTAGGGAGGAGGGGAGACACCTGGGGCTGCACACATTTTTGCGAGGGGGGGGCACTGCAAGAAATCTTACTGTGGCTTGTACATATGCTGTGTACTTTTCAAAATTTAAAATGAGGAAGGGCCCCACAATCTATGTAGTGGGTATAAAGCACAGCATTCTCCAACAACAAAAACTGAAACTCAGAACAGATCTGAAATTTCCATCGTGAAAAAACCAGGCAACATACTTATCTGCAAATACTACTGAGTGCTTTTTTTTGTGTGTTTATGTTGCTCTAAGAACTGACAAAGTCTTTCACTTTCAGGAGAGATGATCGGCCTGACAATGCACTACATTTGTACAAGGAAGCCAATCTCACCACTGTGCTGTCATTTTTCTCAACTGCACATATCTTCGAACCTTTCTCTCACCAGAGGGAAGAAAAACGCTGAATTTCAACCTACCTTTATCTTTCCAGGCTTGCCCGGTGGTCCAGGGGGGCCACGAGGTCCTGGAGGTCCCTGCATGTACAACAAATTCAGGCGTCCAATTCAGTCAGAATAAACACCTTCTGAACTGAATGATTGAAAAGTTAGATTCCAGTGACATTTGCAATGGTGATCTAAGAAAACTGTTCACTGAAAGATACCTGGTAAATTGAGCCTGCAACCGTGAGCAGTATGTTTGCTTCTGTTGTATGCTGGAATAGGCTGTTGGGTATAGTGACTGAACTTTGTTGTTGGGAGTCATTTCTGGATTTATTTAAGATCTGGTCGTTTGAATGTTTGAATATACAAGGCTTTAACTTGCTTTAACTTGCAGGACACAGATACATGTCTTTTTTTCCTCTCGGGAATTGGGCTTGTGTAATAACATAGCTGATGACAAAAGGCTTAACTAGTTGATCACGGAACTGATGGCAGAGCTGATGATGTTTCGGGAGAATTATGCTCCCTGAGCTGTTTTCAAGCCATGAGACTAGCTCTCTTGACTAGGAAGCTCATTTGACCTCAACAAAAGACGGCAGACAATGCACAGTTTCCTGTCTCCTTGATTTTCATTGACTGCTTTGTGTCATCCGTGCAAAATTACGATGAGGCTGTTTTTTGACAGGCGGGTGACAAGACACTGTGTAGTCAGGGGTATTGAAATCCGTGTCAAAAACGTTAGCATACTGGAAAGCAAGGGAAAAACTTGAGTCTTTCTGACTCCCACAATGCAATGATCAGGGTCCTACAAGCAATTTCCTCATCCTTAATTGTTACTTCTCATTACCGGTGGTCCCATGATCAGCTCCTCTCCAGGCTGGGCCGGTAGTCCAGGCGGACCTCTCTCTCCCTTTGGGCCCTGTTTGAACAAAAACCATATCTCATTTTCAGTTTTAACCACTTGCCGCCGGGGATTCCGGTACCGGACACGTATGCTTTATACGCGTGGCCAGGATCTCCAAAATTGGACAAAGGGAACTGGGCCTTGTAACAAAAGACCGTACTTGTAACAAAAGACCAGGCTGCTGGGCATTACCAACATTTTCACTCTCAAAAGTGTATATAATCCAGCCTTGTTTTGAGACATGATACTACGGTTTTGGGCATTTAGCGTGAGCGGATTACCACCGGGGACAAAAGCGCTCCACCACCGCAGTGATGAGCCACACAGCACCACTGCACGCTAATATGACCTCTATTGAAAAGAGATCAGCAGCTCACTGTGCCAGGTTCATGAACAAAAGAAAGTTACATAACACCGCACAATCTGGGCTCTTTTTACAAGGCTGCAGGCCTGGCTGAAATACTCGGGCATCAATAGATTTTGTCTGTCAGTATAGAGTAGCCATCAGCCAGTCATTCCTGTGGGTGTAAACGTCCATTAATTGAAATGACAAATTTTTTAGGAATTTTGAAAACTGAAAATCTTGAAAATGTTCCGTTTGTGTGCATTGCATTTTTCAAACCACCCGACAGCAAGTGGTTAAAGAGCAACAGATCTCCAAATATGTATTAACAAGAGAGGTTTCACTTTGCCGCACTTGGCATGCTCACTTTACAGGAGGTATGATTTAAAAAACTCTCCGTAGAAGAAAGGTCCTTTTTAAAGTGACAAGTGGCAGAGGCACACCCGTGGGAAGGCCTTGGCGGTTGAGCCCCCTCCCCAAGGGATTTCCAAATGCTTTTAAATCCTCTAAAAAAGACAAAATGCAATATACACCTACATATTAAGCTACTAGCTCTGATATAATTGTATTTTCCAGTCTCCTGTGGCACAATGGGGAGGAGGGGTTGGCTTGAATATCATAAGTAATGGGGAGAACGGAAGGGATAAAATTAAGTAAGCTACATCAGCCAGCCTCCTCTAATGACAAATACTGGGTATGCCACTGGCAAAGAGTGACACTGTACACAATCTCCGTGTTGGTGTGCATTACCAACACTCCATACATGGCCATAAGTAACATGCTAGAAACCATCAGCTGCAAGAGTCAGATTGCATGGACTGGTCAGAAAGCACAATTATGTTGATTGCATGTACTATACTGCATTCAGTGTCTGAAGTAGTAATGGGGGATTTCTGATCAACCAAATGGCAGCTCAACGGCAGGGCACATAAGCTGGGTATGCAAGGTTGCTTTGCAGCCGAGAGGGCCTAGCTTAACTGATTCTGATCTCTTTGGGTTGTATTATTACCTTGGGACCCCTCTCACCAGGAAGTCCAAATGGGCCGCTAGCACCTGTCACAGAATATCCTTCTCTGCCTAACGGACCTGGCGGTCCCTGAGGTCCACGATCACCCTGGCAGAAACAACAAACATGTTACCATTGTAGGAAATACTGAACCCTTGCTTTCCTATGACTTTTACTTTCCTCACTGTAGACACAAATCATGTGCCTGGAACAGTTTTCATGCACAAAGTCTTCAGCATTGTATTGCACTGCAGTTGTTTAAACTACACACGTGTTGAACAATAAACTATAACAATGGCTTCCTCAAACCAAAGGTTTCCACATTAATAATAATAATAGAGAATTTTTAAGACACACTGTATCCAACAATGTGTCATTCAATATATATATAATCCCTGATCGATGGGCTCATAACATCTGAACATTTCTTACAACCATTTTAGCTCAGCTCCCTAGGGAGTATATAAGCCCAATGCTGCCATTTCAGACGCAAATGGCAAAACACAACTATATCTGCCCTCTCAGATACCCAGAAAGGCACACAGAGGTAAAGTGACTTGCCCTGAGGTTGCAACATGCAACTACGTATCTGTCAAGATTCGAACCCCCCAACTCCATGACCCGAAGCTACAGACCCTAAACCACTAGGCCACACGTCCCCTTGGAACCTTGCGTTCTACCCAACAGAGTGACCGGTTGTCACCTTTTCTCCTTTCATGCCAGGTGGGCCCTTCACTCCACCCACGCCATCCTCTCCATTGATCATGTAGCCCGGTTCCCCCAGACCGCCTTTGTAGCCCTCCAGACCCTGCCAGGGGAGCAACGAGAGAGAACGCATCACCACACTATTGTATGAAATTGACTACACATACTGATTGGCACCGGTTTACTGCAGTGCACCAGTCAAATTTATAATATACCTGGGAAAACAAAAAAGTGTGGCATAAACTCAACAGCGATAGCATGTAAAAAATACTTTGACAGTTCATATTTCACTGTTGTGATGATGTTGCATCTATGAGGTCAAATGGCTTCAAGTGGTCCTTCAACATTAATGTTTTTCCTCATTTCCATGGTTAGGAGATGGGGTGCCATGCAATGCATGCAGAATGGGGGGGGGAGCATTTGCATCCCCCCTCTTTTCCATTGGGAGCATGACCCTCCCCACGGCAGGCCCTAATATAAGGTGCTCTATATAGGCTCTATGTAATTATTAAATTATGGGTTCTCTGGTCCAGTACCTCATAACTACACCCCAAAACGCAGAATCATTCTTCCAGTGTTGGTGTTGGAGATAATAAGGACTCAGTACCGTGGACTCAAATATGAACGGCACAAGCGCTCTTCAAATGTACATGTACTTGATATGTGTTACAGACTGACAGTAGCTGAATCAACAGCTGAACAGCTTCCACATACCTCCAAGCCTCTGGATCCCTTCTTGCCCTTGCCTCCTTTGGGGCCCAGCACGCCTCTGAGCCCCTTGGCCCCCTTGAAACCCCTGCGTCCTTGCCGACCTCGCAGTCCCTGCCTCCAGGAAAAACAACCAAAGCTTGCATTTATTCATCTCATAGTCGAAGCAGTTCCTAGATCAAGCCCCAAACAGCAGCATGCAAGCCACATTCTTGAGAAGTCTCTTCCCAAAGCACGTTTTTTATCAATGGGAGGAGGGAATGATTTTTGTTAAAGGCCCAAAATTAATAATATATTAATAATTAATAATTATTATCGTCTATGCACACTTTTTATATATTTGACCTTAGAGCATACAGACAACATCAAGCACTGATTATTACTGTGTTTCAGTAAAACTTATTAATATTTCTGTGACCCACAAGGTAATTCCTTCACAGAGACCAATTAAGACAAAAAATATCAGAATACATTATTAACAATCAAAAGACACACAACACAACAACTTGTAGAAATAATAATGTAATTCTCAGTTGCTCCAAAAGAAGTAAACACAGATTACCACTTGGACAAATTCCAGAATCACTTTAAGTTAAAAGGTTTGCCTTGTTTTCTTTACAACATATCGCATGAACTACACTTGACCTGCAGATGTTTTATCCTAAACCTCGGATATGCTCAAGATATCTACTAGCAGGTTCCAAGCACTGTATTCATAAAAATGTTAGCCTGCCCTGCTGCGTAAGCTGCATTCTGTGACTTGTTTACGAACTCATGTTCTGCTACAAGTCATTAATAATGCAAAATGTAGGATATAAAGGGCTATTGCAGAGGATTCTGAAACATTCAAGCCTTGTGTGGGAGATGGGTCCTACAACATCCCGGGTGACCATTTATAACGTGGCGATACAGTTGATCATATTGTACCCACCACTCTTCCCTTGGGACCCTGGATGCCAAAGTAGCCTGAGCGCCCTGGCGGGCCCGGCGGTCCAAGTGCGCCCATGTCGCCCTTCTCACCGGCTATGCCCCGCTCTCCCTACAGAACAGGCAGAACAAAGGACAAGGCATTCTTCAGTAACTGATGCCATGTGTGAACATACTCAAAAAAGAGATCCCTGCATGGTGCTACTGCAAACCTCTTCCTTAATTAACCACCTTCACCATGAAAAGCTTCAAAGCTCAGTGGGAGGATGACTGTGAAACAACAGTGACTTGGGTGCCAAATGTGGGTAAATACTACGTCCCCTCCTTAACGTTGTGCATGCAAACAGGACACTGAAAATGTGTGAATCAACCAGTGTTGTAGTCAAGACTAATTAAGACCTTCACAAGACCACATAAGATCAGCACAAGGCCAACACAAGACCTCCAGTCTGAATTCAAGTCACAAACTTTTCAGATGAACGGCAACAAAAGCATTCCTTTGTCATAGTTCACCGTTTCTTGTAACTTGTCTTGTATACGGTCTTGTGTCTGGTCTTGCGACGGTCTCAACACTGGAATTCATCATTCAATGATTGCCACAGCAATATTTTTTTTTATGATGAGCGTATTCATATGCACATTCCTGTTGCCAAATCTGATGTTCGGGGTGTGCATGTCTTTGCAAAATTGTACACCTTTTACTGTAGTTGGGCAGAAAGAGAGAGTGGAAACATAAAGGCATAATACCACTCTGCACACAAGTGTGGAAAAGCTCCAGAAATGGCACAGTCCTCCCCAGTCTCAATGACTGGTCTCCGTCAAAGGACCAGAGAGGTGAATTGTTGAGCAAGTTCATTCATCTCAGGTTGTAAGAACACTTTAATACGGTAATTACCACGAGTCCATCGGAGCCAGATAAGCCGTATGATCCCTCCACTCCTTTGGGTCCCTGAAGCACAAGTAAAATTACAAATGAACAATCTTAGGAAAGTGAAGACAGTCTAGGAATTCTGCTGACCTCTTTAATGCAAGCTGGGGTGTAATCTTTCAGAAGGCTGGTATAGTTTTGACAGCTTTGAAGATTTTTCTTTCGCAACTGGAAGAAGGCAAACTTTGAGAATGTCCAATGCGATCTCTGAAGTGTGCACAACTTGTTCTCATTCTACACAAGGCCTTTGGAATTAAATGGAGTTGTGATTGGTTGTTTTTGCATGTTCAGTTATCAGAGACATTTAATGGTATGATGATCTGCAATAGGAACTGCTCAGTTCTAGGTGAGATTCTCAAGCTATTCAGAATGAACCCAATTGACAATTCCGCATTCTGCCCAGCCTGAGCACGTAGGTGAGTGATATGCACCATATTTTGAGCTTGTGATGATTCCAAGGAGATCTACTTAGCAAAAATGATGGAAATTTTTTAAAGCCTTATTAAAAAGAATCTGTAACTCATATTTCCAAACACACTTCAAATCTTTTTCAAAGTAACTCTTAACCTTTTCTCCTGGTAGACCATCACGCCCTGATGAGCCATTACGACCTTGTAAACCCTGTGTTCCAAAATGGGAGTGTACAATTAGATCAGTGAATTACAAACCTGCCCCCCCATAAAAGACTTATGACATTTCATGACTAGATCCTCACTTCTTAACTCGTATCTTGCAGATGACTCCAAGAGACAAACAGCCAAGGTGGCTTCAAATTAATTGTTTCTCTCCAAGAGACAGTTCTGTAGTTTTGCCAGAGTTTCTGTTTTAGCCAAGAGCACTGACTTGAAGTTTTAAATGAAATATTTAAAGTGGCTTAGGAATGTGGCACTTATTAAAAATTTGTAGGAGATGCATACTGCCACACCAAGTCAGTCACTGTGACTATTGCCAAGACAATGAAGTTTACATGCTACTGTATTAAACCTATTCTCCTTGTGTACTCCAAACTTATTTAGTTCACAGTGACCCCTTACAGTGTGTGAAACCTTGTACTGAAATTCAAGGACTGACGATTGTCATTGATTGGATAACTTGCTTCATTTAAAGTACAGGGCTTTGAGTATCAGAGTCCATGGAAAAAAAACACATGAATAGATTAATGGCAGCATAATTCAAGAATTTGGAACAAAGGCAATTATAAGGAAATTCTTACCAATGGTCCGACTGGTCCCGGTGGCCCGGGTTCACCCGGTGGCCCGATGTCCCCGCCGATGCCCGGGTCACCCTTGCTGCCCTTTGCGCCCAGGGGACCCACATCACCCGGTGCACCCTGGGGCCCTTCCACACCGACCACACCTTCTATACCTTTCCTACCCTTCACAAAGGCAAAAGAGCGAGACCAACTTGAAACGACGGGCTGGCTTTGGCTGGGAATGACCACCAGCACCTGCCTCCTGAATGGGTTCACTTCCCTTGATTGCCACACTCAGTACTGCTTTTGAATGTACTCACAAAGCTACACAGCAAAATTTTGCAAAAAGTGTCTTTTCACAAGTGAAATGTGTACAGAATCATGTTTCTTTAGATTTGAGTGTAATGCAAAAGCAAACCAATGAAAAAAAGAGATTGGTCTTGAATTTAATTGATCCTAGATTTCTCCCACAAGGAAAAATCTGTTCACAGTGTGAATTGGTCACTGGATAAAAATTTCCACAAGCACATTAATAAGGATAATGTGTGATCTAGTGACTGTCTAGAGGATGGAAATGCTCATTTATGCATACTGAAAATCACAGCAGGACTATCATGCTACGTACGCAGTGACATGCATGGTTCAAGACACTAGCCAACAGGACCGGCGGTGTCACCATGTCCCATGCAACCCTGAAATGGACTCTCGGCCAAAACTGAAACCAACTGAACGCACCTTCTCTCCGAGGCCCCCGTACTGTAAGCCTTGGGGACCTGGTATCCCTTTGTTTCCCAGCGGGCCCGGTGGTCCAGGGATGCCCTGCTCACCCTGCAGGCCAGGGGGCCCATCGATGCCTCGCTCCCCCATGAGGCCTGGCTCTCCATCCGGTCCAATCTCCCCCTTCTCGCCCTTTTCCCCCTTTGGGCCGTAGTTTCCTCGTGTGCCGTATCGCCCCTGAGTGGGCAAATTTCAAGTGGGAAAATTAGTTCAGTCCCTTATTTCCAAAGACTGAAACTAAGGAATTGATAACTCAGAGAGAAAAATTACTCTGAATTTAGATTGAAATAGTTTGGGGACAAAACACTTCCAGTGGTAACTCAGTAAAATTTTGATCTGGGTGAGTAAAGTTCACTCAAATTCATCTTGTCCCTAGTTTGAATCAGAGTATATTTTCACCCCAAATGAAGTGACTTTCCACTCTCTGGAATTCAAACAGCATCAATAGACAAATCCAAGGAGATTCCATTCCTGCAGGGCTGTCACACTCAAACACATGTATTCACTTGAACCCGCGCACGCACCTTGGCAAGTCCAAACACCCAACAGGTTGGGAGGAATGTTACGCACACCTATCACCTGTGCGAGAATAGGATGGCCCCGCAGTAATGGCTCCTAATTCTTTTCACCAGATTTTGTCTATTACAATAAGGGTCAAGCTGTTCTGATATCTAAAATCCATTACTCAATACATCTCCATGTAGGGCCTGCTCTCTTCTTATGACAGTGATATGTTTGCCTACAGGGGCTAGCAAAAGTGTGGTTGGCCGTGAACATGAAGCCAAAAGAATAATTCACAAAATGCTACAAAAGCCCCACAAACACATAAACATTACTACTTAAACACTAAATAAAAACATGACCCTCTTTGAAAACAATGGGGCAAATGTACATTTTGGGTTTGAATCTGACACCAAGCTAGGGTGATATTTCTGCAGACTTTGGCTGCCTATGTGAGTAGTCCGCAAAGTGAACACGATCTACATACATGTGCAAAGCTCAGACAAATTTAACAACTAACAATTATCAGAACTTTCATGTCAAGCTGCCCTTGACAGCTCTTAAAGCAAAATATCCCAGCTAACCTAATGATCTTTCCAATAATGACCCCCTACCTACTTATGCACATATTGCACAGGTTTGTTATTAATTCTGAAGAGAGCCCGATTCAAAATTCAATTGATTTTTGGACCAGGTTTAAATATCAATATTAACTGCTGCTGGCTGGTTTCAACCATACAAAAAATTATTATCTAAGCACTTCTAAACTATTTTAATAACTTAGTTGCTCATCTTCTGGGTGACTGAAAGTAAATTGATGTGCTTACAACAAAACAATTTTCCAAGGCCACACATGGCTGGGTAGGACTTCAATTAAAATAGGATTTACCATCATTAAAAAAAGTTGTGAAAATTAATTACTTAAACTATAACAATGCATTTTACTACATGCCATATTCTAAAAATGGATTCATTTTCAAAGCCTTATTTCTCATAATTTACATTTCGTCGATAAATATCACCAAAACATATCATCTTATTAACTACAATCCCCGAAACTGTAATAATTTGGTAACTAAATTGGATGCTAATTTTTTTTTTGAGGGGGTACAAAGCACTCATCTGCAGCAAATTTACAAATGTCAATGGTAGAGCAGGGGTCAATTCCGGGGTATTTTCAAGCAACTAAGTGATTTCAATCCCCTTTCTTCCTTTTGTTTCATTTCCTTCCTCTTTCATCTTCTTTTTTTTAATTTTCAAATTTTGGGGGGGGGCAAGGGGAGTGCCCCCCTCGTGGCACCCATGCCTACAATGAATATACCACTCCTTCAAGGTATCTTACATGACAATCTGCACACACTGAATGTTCCTACCCGCATTCCACTCCTGCCCAGTATCCCTAATCCGCCACTGCTGCCAAAGTCTCCCTTCTGTCCCTTGGGACCACGCCCACCAGTTCTTCCAGGCCTACCGACCTCACCCTGAAAAGAACAACAGTGTTTCAGAACCAGTGGCAAAAACAACAGCATAAAATTCTGGAAGGCATCCAGGGTTGCACACAGTTTCTTCAGGGGGGCACCAATAGCTGACAGACTGCAGCAAGTGCATAGGTTGTGTACATTTCCAAATTTCAATGGGGGGGAGGAGGACACAGATGCCCACTGGGGGAGGGGGGCACATGCTTCCTTGTGACCCCTCTCCCCTGTTGTTCGGCAAATATGGCTAGAAAGTTTCAAAGTGGGGGGCAGTTGTGAGACTGTCAGGCATCAACCATTCATAGACTGATCTTTTAAGCCCCGCCTCATCATAGCACTTGCCAAAAGTGGGGAGGGGGGGAACCATGCCCCCAGTCGAAAAATGTAGGGGCCACTGGCCTCCCCCTGCTTCTTCTGCCATTGCTGTTAAGTATACTGACTTGTTTAATACTGCAATGGTTCGCAGAGAGAGGGAAGAGGAGTAAAGGCTATTCAGTCTGATAGGTGGTCTTCCAAGTGAGAGTGCTAAACAAAAATCAGCATGCTTCTAAATAAAAGCCCAACAGCTTATGAGTGTTCAGCTGTTGAATAAAAATGGCAGATTCAAAACCAGCAAAGTACAATTGAATGACTCTGCACATTAATCAGATTTGGAATTCACTCGGTTGTTAAAATGCTGATGACTGCATACTGGAAACGTTGGATTAGATACTTTTCCGTGCAATGTGAATGGGCATTTCACTCAGAGTGGGAGTTTAAGCTCAGACAAGCTTCTGCAACAAAACTTGTTCTTCATCCTAATTTGTGTGTATGTCCTATTACAAAAACAAGAACACTGTGTACCAAGTTGTTTTAAATCTGAAAACAAAAGGACAAGGGTTTATGAGTAAGCACATACATGGGAAATCCTGCACTGGAAAGCATCACCAAATCTTACATGATCACTCCCCACACATTAGGCATCATTTCCCAAAAGGAAAATTTCCCCCGACATTTATTTTAAATCTATGTACAAAAATGTGTCTTCCTTCAGTCTAGTATGTCTACATTCTCGGATAATGCGCAGCATCTTAACAGGTTGGCCTGAGAGACAATCTTTTGCTGTGACTTCTGATTTGGGAAGTTTACCTAAAACTCACCCGAAGTCCTGACTTGCCCTGCTCTCCCTTGCCTCCTTTTGTACCCCTGTCACCCTGGATTAAAACAAGGTCATAAAAAAAATTACAACACATATATTTTTTTCCAAAAGCTGTTGAACATCCTACCAAAGCAGGAATTGCCACAAATTATTTGGGAAATGGGTAGATTTTGTCTTCACCTGCAGGGTAGTCTTGATTTCCAAAACCTCTCTGAATGGCACAAACATGATTTATCATTGTATCTAACATTTTGGACATGCTTAGCATAACATTTGGCTTCTGAAATTGTGCAAATGTTAAATTCTGACAATTCAGAATAGAAATTATTCGGAAGTGTTACATATTCTTCATTCGCCACACACAGAATATTATCAATTCTTATTTCCTCATTCTGATAAAACAGAAGCTGTGTGTGGCCTATTCTGGCTGCGGCTTGAAATTTCACAAAACTACATGGGAAGTGGCAGCAGAAACAGCCACGGACTCGTGGGATTTCAAACTGCCGCGAAGTAATTCGGGCACGGCCACACATGATCTCACCAGTAATCCCCTTTTTCCTGGGTCTCCTGCGACACCAGCTGGTCCCTTGGGGCCCTGTAGTCAACAGGAAGTATGTACACTGATTACACTTTTCATGAACACAAAACTAACTAAATTACAAACCATCCAATCAATCAGCATTATAGTGAACATTTTCTATTGTGGATGTTCTAATTCCACTCTTTTGGTAGAGGAATAGTCAATTCTTCCAGAGCAGAGAAAGGTGTGGATAGGAGAAAATAAGTCCACTGGAATTTCCAGTGAGGAGGGGATGATAGTACTGTTGTGCCTTTAGGGCCAGTACAAGCAAGCGTACTTTTGGAGAATTATTACAAGCCTGCATGCTCTGTTTAAATCGTCAAACTGCTCTACAGGAATTAATTCCTGAAGAGAGGTAATGGCGCAGTTAGTCACAGGCCTGTAGAAAGATGTAGATAGAACAAAAGGAGATCTCAGGAACATCCAATGGGCTTAATGACCAAGCCTATAGTGCCCGTGTTGGCAGGCATGGGTGTCAGCAGGATTTCTCCAGGTGGGAGAGAGGGATGGAGCAGGTTTTTCTGGGGGAGGTGCGAGGTAAAGCATTCGTCACTGGCAAACTGACAGTGGAAGATCAATTCTGAGGTACTTCTAAAGCCCAATTGGTGCATTTCATCCTCTTTCCATTTCATCCATTGTTTGCTTCTGTTGCTGCTTCCATTATTTTTCACTCTCTCCCCTCGGGAAGGGAAGGGGGCAAGCAGCCCTCTGTCTCCCTCTCATGATAACAATGCCGGCAGGAAAGCCTTATTATAGCATCGTTATAAGCCTGCCTGCTCCTTTTTAAGAACTGTCCATAAATTATCTATTGAAAGGAATTGTGAGAAATCCTGAACTGACTGACTCCCCCCCCCCACATTTCAAATATGACTGCCTACTTACCGGAGGCCCTGGTTCACCTCGTATCCCTTTAGGACCGTCAACACCGATCAGTCCATCATCCCCTGGATACCCATCTGAAGCAGTGTTTCCTGGCAGGCCCGGCTCCCCCGGTTCACCTTTGATGCCCTGTGGTCCTCTCTCACCCTATCCATTCAACAACATGGAAATAAGACTTGGTTGTAGGTGGGCCTCGCTATCAGTGCAACTGGCGATAAGCTTTGTATATGAGCAAACACTCCATGCTAACTTTAATAAGCAGAAGAGTTGTTACTGACGAGGTTTCCCACAGCTCCGCCAGTATCTCTCAGGCAAATGTCCCCACTGTTAAGCGGAAATATCTCCGCTGTGCTACATCTATGCGTGTGACCTCATTCAAGAAATGAAGTAAACAATAGTTTCTTCAGCAAAACACTATCTCCTTGCCAACACCAGGCAGAGAATTGGGCCTTGAGCCGAATTTCTTGGAGATTTATTTATTCATATATTAGTACTGAAATCTCAGGACACTGAAAGGCCAAATTGCAGTTCAATGTATAACTCATTCCATTAAATCTTAAGGAAAATCAAAGCACTAAATTGGAATTAAAGGAAAACATTAAAAGTATGATACTTCTATAATTAAAATAATCACATTCTGAACAGACAGAGATGTTTAGCATTTTTACTCTCCACCTGCTCTCATATTTTGCCACTTTTCCGTTGTGTACTGACGTATTTAGTGCTTACCAAGTCATTGACAGCCATTTATGTGTTTAAAATTGACAACACAATAATGATCTGGACATAAAATATAATCAGTGGAGCAACTAGGGTAATTTTTAAGGGGGAAATTGGGGGGGGGCACCCTTTTTTTTCCCGGTATGCAACGAAGCCAATGAGCGATGGCTTGAAGATGAAGGGGGAGGTCGCATGGACCTCTGTAGGGGGGCATGCACCCCCATACATACACCAGTGATATTTCTACTGACCGGATCTCCTTGTGGGCCTTTTCCCCCTGGCTCCCCTGGTTCTCCTTTTGACCCCTAAAACAACGAAAAATCACAAGATTATAAAACTTTATCTTGAGGCTGAGTCAAAAGAACCTGTAAGGAATTCAAAACCTGTGTTCCCATCGGAATTTTCTTCTGTGCTTCTTGCAGAAACTTACCATGACTCCCTGTAAACATCCTTTTGAGTAAACTTATGCATTCCCACTTTGACTTTTTTTACAGCGACAGAATGTTAATTTTTCATATGTGGTCGGCTACTGTGGCATAGTGCCAAGTGCTCACTTGGCACACTGATAATAGTCAGGTACCGTGCCGCTCAAGTCGTAGCGTCAGTATTCACAGCTATCAAAACTGGTTTTCCTGGCCCAAAACCCAGCTGTGTTTCTCACCATTTTGATTGCCTATTGGTACATGCGAAGGGATCCAGGGAACAGCTCTTTGCATGGGGGATATGAGAGTGCACAAGAGGAAATCTTACAGGACAGTGCTGATCCCCTTTGATTTATCAATGGCCCCGTAAAACAACTGGGAATCTTCTGCAATCACTTTGAATTACGCCAAACACAATGTGGATCTAACAGGGATGCCAAGTTTCTTGGACTTCCAATGGGAGTAAGACTGAAGTCTTGCTCTTATTTGTAATTCTACAAATTCAGGATTTGCTGGTCTCCGTGACATCAGCTTTCCTAAAGGCTACTTTCAAAAGTTTCACCTTCAGCTGAAGAGTAAACACAAGACTGAAGAAAGGATAACCTGCTCTTTCTTTGTTCCCAAGTCTCACAAATCCTCTCTGAAGCGTAAACAGGTTTTAACCTGCGCTTGCCATGGGCAACCTTTTTACTCCTTGGAGAGCCGTAGAGGGGATTTGTGAGACTTGGGAACATGGGCGAGTATGTGCACTGTGGCTTGTGGACAGGTGGGAGGCATCAGTGTTGCTATTAACCCTCCTTTGGTTTTACAGCACAAATATGCACAAGTGCCCACAGTCACTCTCTTGCATGTGTTTTCTATATGGAACACAAACATGCACAGGTTCAGTGTGTACACAGTTGGTTGCCAGCACAAAATGACACAGGGTCTTTTGTGCAGTACTCTTCACTGCATTGGTTTACTGCACAATGATGCACATGAAACAG